GATCACTTCCATATTATAGATGAATTTGAAAAACTGTATTTGTTTTCACTCTTTATTAGTTATGAAATATGGATGTAAACATCCTCAGAGACTGGTGATACATTCACAGTGCCCACAGGCAGAAAACAAATCTAGAAAATGCTAAGGAAGGAGATCATTGCCTGTCTGTTCATCTCCTCTGCCACTAAGTATTGGTTTTTTTGAGTAGTATGTAGACTTTTATATCCTAGATGTAAATAAACGGACTACCTTCCTGTAAGATATTTACAGCAGTTTGTCGCCCTGTGCAGCATTCCAGTGATTTCTGTACCATTACAAGCACATGGTGAGTTGTTCAAACATGGCAGTCTGGCAGGTGTTTGCACAGTGTCTAATTACAAAAGGATAATGTGCGTTTCTGTTGTACATATATGTAAGCATAAATCAGGAGGAGAGAATGAAAAAATAGTCTTTGTCCAAGACATGCAGTAAAACAGGAAAAAAAGCTAGGCAGCATGATTTGGGCTGGGGGATATCAGTGAATCAGCTGCAAAGCCTTCATGTTTGACTTTTATTCTTACAAAAAAAAAAAAAAAGCTAAATTATTTTATGTGTAGGAAAGGCAGTCTCTGAGCTACAAACTGCTACGTAAAATTCATGGCTTAGTATCCTGTTCCCAGCTTAAGTTCTAGTTTGTTGTTTATGTGACATTTGTACTTTGAGATTCCAGTGGAACTGGAACATTCGCTGTGGGCATTGCACAGAACAGACCCAGAGCAACTTCTCTGCCACTAATGAGCTGCAGTCTAATGTTCAAGATAAGAGCAAAGGACTGGTAACTGGTCAGACGTTCAGCTGGACACAGACCCTCAAGTCCAACATCTCATGGAGTGGAGTGCATTACCTTCTAACTGAAGTAGTGATGTACAGCCACTGATCCATGAAAACCCTGTCATATGAGAAGAACTCAGGAGAAGATAAGTTGCCACTGCCCTCATGCTGTGTGTTTGCTGAACATGAAGGGAAGGCCTGGAGTAAACAACCAGTGTTCCTGGTGCAGGTATGAAGCCAGCTGGCCTTTCCACACTCGCTTCCCTCCGAGTTTTTGCAAGACAAAAAAATAAAGAAGGTATCACTGTTGTATTATTGGAGGTGGAAATATGGAGTTTGGATTGGGCTGCTATGCTGGAGGAGAGTAAGAATGCAAGTACCACTTTTGCTAGGGCTGCTGGCAAAAATGATAGCATCTGTTAAAATATATGGCCTCTGAGAAGTCTGAGAGCTCTTTTGTTTCAAGTCTGGAAGTCTGGCACTGGATGTGCTAAGGAATACTTTTCTTCTGCTTTTCATCTGCAACTGATGAATAAATTAACGTACGGTTAACATGAAATGAGAACTTGTGGGGTTTTTTGTAAAGACATGTAAGTCATGAACAAATAGTGATAATAAATTTTGGTCAGTGTAAAGTCAATAACTGACTGAAGTACTGGAGCTAGATGTTTTAATAATGCGCCTAATGAACTGGAGTGTTTGTGATTTTAGGCAGGAGCTCTATAAATACTGAGAAAAATTTTTTTTAAAAGTACCTGATAAATTTCAATGCCTCATTGAAACATGTTTGGCCCAAGGACTTGCAGAAGAATACTTCTTGTTTTCAGGAAAGCTGCCTACACACATAAAGATTGTGAAATCACCATGGATACACCCACCTCCTTTTTAGTTCTGTTTTTTTTTTTTTTTTGCTACAGACCTTCAAATGATAGGATGTGTCTCTTTGATTTCTACCACCCTTCCCCATTTGTCATTAAAAGGAGAGAGCTAAAATGCCTGCAATTATTGGTATGTATTTACTTCCAAAGGTAAAGAATTCTTTTTCATTAAAGCCCTTTCCCCACAAACACGTGAAAAAACTAAGGTATGAGAAGTTACAGTCTTAATTTTTTAGCATGATAAGTTGTGTTATAGTTCCAGAGGATACCAAGTTGTATCGAAAAACACTGTACTGTTCAGAGGGAATCCAAGTGGAGAGGAAATATGATGCTGTGGCCCTGAACTGCACTTAATGCTTGTCACAGGTGCACTGGGAGACCTTGAAGAAACCCCAGTGGAGGTTTCTGTCTCATCTTCCTAGATCTGGTTTTGCTACTATCTGTTTAGGTGATAAATATTCAAAAAATGTTCTAGCTGGAGATATGTACAGCAACCTGTACCTAGGGTCTTGCTCTCAGGGCACTGTGGCAATATGAATAATAACCTGTAGTCTGGGAAGCAAGGCACGTTTTCCCTTGGCAGCACAGCACTTGAAATTCCTCTGCTGTCCTATGTTAGATGCAATGCCGACTCAGCAGCTTAAGGAGATGCTACAGAAATGCCTTTACGTATGCTATGGATTTGTGACTGCTTCCACAGCCATGTAAATCAGAAGTAACTGCTGAAATCAGTTTTATGTACTGGTATAAAACTGGGAGAGAAGAACAGATTTATTTTGAAGAATGGGAATGGCAGCTTGCTTAACATTTCTTCCCTTGCATTAAAAAAACAAAATGTGTTGATGTTTTTCTAATGGGCTCTAAAGAGTCAGCCCTTAAAAAGAGCAGGTTCATGAATAAAAGAATTGTTCCTGTCAAGGGAAAACTGCCAAAAACATGCTTAATTTATGTCACTAAGAAAGAAATACTGATGTAATAAACGAATGAGTTTTGCCATTCGATTATGCAGCTAATGTTATGGGTATACTATAAAGCTAAAGTTTCTATTTTGTTTTCTTCCTGGGTCATACAAATACTGCAAAATAGTTTCTAGTGAGTACTGTGGAAGGAGAACTTCCCTTGCACAGTGCCACGTGAATGCTGTGTCCTGTCAAGCACGTTGGCTCCCAGCACACTGACCCAGCTGTCCTGGCTGTCTGTTCTCATTAGATGATGTGGATAATCTTCATGCGGAAGAACGCGGCATCATATTGACAGATGCCCTTGTAACATGTTTCTCTAAGATATTACCTTCTAATTATAAAAGAAGAACAATCTTCTGCATTGTGTTTTTCCTGTCTAGCAAGGTCTTTTGTAAGGTAAAGGACACTTGGTTTTCATATCTTGACATGAGCAAAAGAAAATGGTTAAGGGCTCAGGGTTGCTTCTGACTTTGCAGTGTGCTCTGCTGTGGACCTGAGCAGTCTGCATCAACTCTTGGGTGGCATGATACCCCAGAGTGAAAATGCTGGGGTCTGCTCTCATTCTGAAAATTAAGGGAATAGGGAATGTGGACCAACAGATTTTATAATTGTTATAAAACTGTGACTGAGAAAACAAGATGCCTGGCTGGTGGCTACTCTTGTTGCTAATTACCTGGTTTTGCTTCGTTTTAAAATAGAAGTGTAGTGGTTCTTTGCCAAGGATTTGAAGGAATGCCATCTACTATGAGATGCTGATTATCCCTCAGTACTAATGTAATCTTACTATTATGTAGTTCTCAAAGCATGCTATAACAGAGATTTTGTTTATCTCCATTTCTCATCTGGAGAAAGAGGAACTGATTTACTCCCTGAGGTTTAAACCATGTTCTAAGGCAGAATTAAGAAAGAGACTCAGTTTTCAGGCAGTGCTTTACCCACAAGATATTAAACACCAGTTGAATTCTGATGCCTGATATTATTGTCCAAAATGTGTTCTTATCGAAGAGTGTGCTGGTTTAAAGGTAGTGCAGTGGTTTAAAGGTAAACCAGCAGGGGAAATGAACTTAATTCAAAGGAGAGATTATAAATCAGAATAACAATTTAATAAAATAATACAATAAATGTGATTATGCAGACAAACAGTTGGTTTTAACCCACAAAACCCAAATGTATAACCCAGCACCCTGGGGTGTTAACAGAATGGTGTTCTTTGGGCCCCCTGAGTCCAAAGGAAAAGGAGAGGGGAAAAAAACCTGTTGGTGAGAGTGCTGTTGCAGTCTGGTCAAGAGTGGTGGTCTGCAGTCTGGTTGAGAGTGGTGGTTGCAGTCTGGTTGAGAGCGGTGATCTGCAGTCTGGTTGAGAGCGGTGATCTGCAGTCTTCCACTGGATCCCACGAGTGGTTAAAAAAGTCCCAAGACTCCAAGATTATATATCCTCCAGTTCAGGCAGGAATGCCCAGTACCTCCCTCAGGGTGGGGAGTTCCACAATGGGTGTAAGGACAGGAGCATCCTCCTATCTCACCAGGCCTCCTAACACCTAGTTTATAGCCTGAGGAGTCAGGCTGCTCTGGGCAGAGGGTGTAAATAGTCTATTGATACCAGTTTCTGGGAAATGGCATGGAAGGCTATAGAATACACAGCTTTGGGTTACACCCATCCAGTGATGAACTGGTCCCAACTGTTCTAACTAGGACAAAGAGCAAATAATACCTGGTCCTCTATGACTGACTGGTGCCAAAAACTGCTGGAAATTGATTTTTTCTTTTGGAAATTAATTTGAGTGCAGATTTATAGAAGTGGACTAGTTTTGCCAAGTAGATTAGGAATGAGTCTGGGACTCGGAACACTGGGTTTTGGTCTCTTAGATCTGTTAAGAATTGCTCGAGAAGAAGTCTCCACAAACTTTAAGTTGCTGACACGGGGATGTAGGCAGAATTTGGATGTCTAAGCCTAGAAGCACACTCCTTAAAATCCACTCTGTTAGCCTGCAGGCATCTGTGGTCATTGGGGAGTTTCCACAAGGTCCTGTGTGGGCGTGTGCTCCAGACTGCCTTGAGAATAGCACAGCACTCCTTGTCCCTGTCTCATGACTCTTCACTAGGCTCCTTGCAGCCTTTCTGTTTCCAAGGGACATCTTGTGCGATGTGTTTTGAACATATTGATGCATACTACGAGACCAGTCAGAACTCTCAGTTCCAATCTGAAGAAATATGAGAGGTGAAAAGATTGTGTTTTATATGTGGCTAAGCTTTTAGGGCGGTTTTCTGCATGTAGAAAACTCAGAATTCATTTCCCTTGTGTGCCTGCCTCCGGCTTCTGTCTGCATCATTCCCTGCCCAGGACTGACTGCGAGTTCCCAGGCTCTGAGGTTTCCTGCCTGGTAGCGTAGTGAAAGGTGAAAGTTTGCACCTCCTTTAAGTAGAGAAGAAAACTGAAATTTGGCTTACTACATCTTATCCACATGCCCTGATCACTGGGGCATTGGGTGAAAGAGGATTGTCACTTTACCCCATGTCAACTAGAAGAGTGATAGCTGACCTGTTGTCATTAGAAAAGTGTTCAAGTGGACAACTCACCAAGATGTCAGGTGTGTGAACTCTAAAAGAGGAAGATGGACCTCCTTCTGAAAAAGGTAATTTAAATGACATTTAATTCAGTGTGAGCATTGTGTGAACAGCACTGGTATATGCTGACTTTCTTCATGGGGCACTCGGTGAGCTTAAGATCCTCGTTCACAGTGATGGATGGCACTGGTGAGAATGGATAAAGGGTCTGTGATGCTCTTTAGCGCAAGAAACAATTCTCTTTGGAAAGGTGATTCTTGGTTTCTGTGCAGTTCAATTACACTTTTATGAAGACAGTAATTAGGGCTGCAAAACTGGAGTGTTCTGCATACCCAGGATGAAATGGGCAGAGAATTTTGAATCCAACAAACCTAGAAGTTTTCCTAAGCAATGGAACTGCCAAATCTGTTGTCAGATTTCTTTTTAAGAGTATGTCTGGAACATGTAATGAATGTACAGATCTGAGGTTGTGGAATGGAAAGCCAAGGCCTTATATTAGGTCTTAAAATCCATTTTCTGGGATCAATTTGCTGGAATGTCACATATGTGACCTGTGGGTTACCTTAAAGTAGAAAATACCTTGACCTTGTTTCTTCTCCAAAATAACTTCCCTCCATTGATTCCCATGTCATTCTCCTGTAACCTTGACTGTTATGATCTTGTCTGAGTAACATGAGGGAAAATGTACAGCAGGGTCCCTGCTCCTGCTAGTCCCCAGGTCTTTGCCTTTGATTTTGATGGTTTATCTTCCGACTTGCTTTATTCGTAAAAGGAGGTTGAATGTATGAATTAAGGGCTTACATTTGCAAAAAATGTTTGCACTATTAGAGTACTAGAGAAATCAGGATTCATAGTTCATTTAAATGTAGCAATTCATGAATTTCCTAATAAATTGGGATATGATTATTGTTTTGAGTGTTGTTCTTGCTCGTATGGTCCATTACTGTCTGAGTCCATATCTTTTAATTTTGCCAAAGGAACTCTGAATTCAGAAGGATTTTACCTGTCTTCTGCAAAGGAAGTTTCATCTAGACCTTCTGTTCTCAAACAGAGAGGGGCTGGTGGGAGATGTGGTGGTTGGAGGCCGTCTGGGGCACAGTGACCATGAAATAATAGAGTTTTCAATACTCAGGGATGCAAGGAGGGTCATCAATAAAACCTCTATGCTGGACCTCCAGAGGGCAGATTTCAGCCTATTCAGAAGACTAGTTCAGAGTGTACCCTGGGAAACAACCCTTGAAAACAAAGGGGTCCAGGAGGGATGGACATGCTTCAAGAAGGAAGTATTGAAAGCAGAGGAGCTGTCTCAGTCTGCCGAAAGGCAAGCCGGTGGGGAAGACGACCGATCTGGCTGAATAGGGAGATTTTGAAAGAAATTAGGGTAAAAAAGAGAGCCTACCAATCATGGAAAAAAGGGCTGGCTATTCAGGAAGAGTTTAGGAATGTAATTAGGTCATGTAGAAAGAAAATTAGAGAGACGAAGGCACAGCTTGAACTTAATCTCACCACTTCTGTGAAGGATAACAATAAGTCCTTCTACAGATACATCAATAGCAAAAGGAGGGGCAAGGAAAACCTCCATTCTTTGTTGGACGTGGGCGGGTGTATCAGGGGTTAATTACACTGATACTTTTGTTCTGTGTTCGGCCCAGTCACCTGTGAAAGTTTTGTTCTTTCCCTGCCAAGTTATGAGAAAACAAGCACTGATAAAACGGGAACCTTGTCCTTGAAGGGAGTTTTTGTATAAACTATATTTAATTGGTGTTCTGTGATTGGCTAATCGTTCTCCAAGGTCGCTTGAAGGAGAGATTGAAGACTATAATGATGAAGGACGCCCCCACACTCTTTTGGAAAAGACCCCCCCGAGTGCAGTACATGGGCGCAGGGAAAGCCACGTGTGTGCAGAAGAGATGCACTTACATAACCAAGGGGGTGGGACTGAGGGCCTCTGGCTGGGTGGTGATGGCCACTCCTGCCCTGGTTGAGGTCACTCAGTTAATTGTATAAAAGCAGACAGTGCTTTCTTGGAGGGAGCTAGCTTCACACCAAGGACAACGTTGCCTTTGGCGGGGATGCCTGCCAGTTTGTGAACTTACTGACTCTCCAAGGATGCAGCTTCTGCTATGGGTAATTATAGGCATGCTAGGTCAGTAAGATAACTTTATGGGCAACAGCTGGGTACCTGGGGAGGTCGTGCTGGGGGCTTATTTCTCTCCTCCTTCCTCCCTTTTGGGTTTGTTCGTTTTGTTGGCCACCTCTTGGTAATAAATATCAGTTTCATTGAGCTTGCGATGGTGTCATGGTTTCAGGTTTCAGTATGTCCAAACCTCTCCCTAATACAGTGGGAATACAGTTATCAAAGATAAGGAAAAGGCTGAGGTATTTAACACCTTTTTTACCTCAGTTTTCAACAGTAAAACAGGTTGTCCTGAGGACAGCTGGCTTCTGGAGCTTGTAGACAGAGATAAGAATCCGAGTAGCCCCCCTGTAATCCAGGAGGGAACAGTTAGTGACCTGCTGAGCCACTTGGATCCTCACAAGTCTATGGGACCAGATGGGATCCAGCCAAGGGTGATGAGGGAGCTGGTGGGAGAGCTTGCCAAGCCGCTCTCCATCATCTACCAACAGCCCTGGCTCACTGGGGAGGTCCCAAATGATTTAAAGTTGGCGAATGTCACGCCAATCCACAAAAAGGGCCAGAAGGAGGACCCGGGAAACTACAGGCCCGTTAGCCTGACCTCAGTGCCTGGCAAGGTTACGGAGCAGATCATCCTCAGTGCAATCACACAGCACCTACAGGATGGACAAGGGATCAGACCCAGCCAGCATGGGTTTAGGAAGGGCAGGTCCTGTCTGACCAACCTGATCTCCTTTTATGATCAAGCGACTCGCCTGGTGGATGAGGGGAAGGCTGTTGATCTGAACTTCAGCAAAGCCTTTGAGACCGTCTCCCACAGCATTCTCCTGGAAAAGCTGACAGCCCACGGCTTGGACAGGGGCACTCTGTGCTGGGTCAGGAACTGGCTGGAGGGCCGGGCCCAGAGAGTGGTGGTGAACGGGGCTGCATCCAGTTGGGATCTGGTCACCAGTGGTGTCCCCCAGGGATCAGTGTTGGGCCCAGTTCTGTTTAATATCTTTATCGATTATTTAGATGAGGGGATTGAGTCCATCATCAGCAAATTTGCAGATGACACCAAGATGGGGGGGAGTGTCAATCAGCTGGAAGGCAGGAGGGCTCTGCAGAGGGACCTGGACAGACTGGAGAGTTGGGCTGATTCCAACGGGATGAGGTTCAACAAGGCCAAGTACCGGGTCCTGCACTTTGGCCACAACAACCCCCGGCAGTGCTACAGGCTGGGGACAGATTGACTGGAGAGCAGCCAGGCAGGAAGGGACCTGGGAGTTTGGATTGACAGGAAGCTGAACAGGAGCCAGAGTGTGCCCAGGTGGCCAAGAAGGCCAATGGCATCCTGGCCTGTATTAGGAACAGTGTGGCCAACAGGTCCAAGGAAGTGATTCTTCCCCTGGACTCAGCGCTGGTGAGGCCACCCCTGGAGTGCTGTGTCCATTTCTGGGCCCCTCAGTTCAGGAAGGACACTGAGGTGCTGCAGCAGGGAATGGGCTGCCCAGGGAAGTGGTGGATTCTCCATCCCTGGAGTTTTTTAAGATGAGACTGGATGTGGCACTCAGTGCCATGGTCTAGTAACCACAGTGGTAGTGGATCAAGGGTTGGACTTGATGATCTCAGAGGTCCCTTCCAACCCAGCTGATTCTATGATTTATGGCTGTTGTTTTCCTCCTCTGAAGGAAATTCAAAGCTATTAACTGGTAGTGTTAATATGTGAGTGGATAGGGCATTCCTTATATTGGCTGTGCTTGTGGTAAATATTCTTGAGGACAATGTAACGAATAGAAAGCCTCAACTTTAATTGACAGACTTAGATGTGAAAGGAGAGACTTGTTTGGTGCATTTCTCATTACTGGGCAAACAGAAAGTCATGCTAATTAGTTCTCTTGATAACTTGCTTACTCCACTGTGGGAAAACTTGAATGTGTCTGAAGAAAACTGATTTGCAGTGCAACAGAGAATTACCTTCCAAAATCATTAAAGAAACATTAAGGAAATCACAAGGTAATGCATCTGAGCAGATTACAAGGTTCTGTTAAACCAGTGCATATTTAAAATTAGGTCTAATTTCTGCCTTAATTTAATACACCTTCATCTCTTTAATGAGGACTCTTGTGAATTTTAACAAAGCGGGAGCTGAAGGTGTCTCAAGATGGCACTGATTTGGCACAACTAAGTCAACCAGTTGTTCCCTGGCCAGATTTAATGGCTGACAGTCCTTCACCTAGCTGGTTTCCAAAAAGTACATGCCCTGCATTGAGGCTGGTTTCATATCTTAGGTTTGTCAATGTATATCTCATAATTATGAAAGGTTAATGTTGTCTTGGTAAGAGAAAATCAGTCAAGTTAATGTGTTGCAGAGTGAAGAATATTTATAGAAGTCTTGTGACGAATCTTCCTGAAAATTTGATGTTGTGTACTACATTAGATTAGTGAACGTGTGTTTATTGGTAGGGATAATGTAGTAGAATGATTTAAATGATTACAAAATTTTGTAGCCTTTTTATAAAATTTAGCACTTTGCTTCCTTGCTCCATATCCTACAAACTCAGGACAAGAAAGCTGTCTCTGCAGTATGATCTGATGTAGCTATGGTATGCTATTTCTCACCACTCCAAGCTCTCTGATTTTCCATCTTGACCTAAACAGTGCTGGTGTCAACCTAGTTTTGTGTCTAAAAGTCTTTTTGATTTTTTTAACTGCGTCATGGTTTGAGAGCTCCAAAAATCTAATTCCCTAGTCTAAGCCCCCTCTAACATCTCAACCTAATGTGGGATGATTTTTTCCAGACAAAACACGAGACTCAGAATGGGGGAAAGGGAATATATATTACAATGACTGTACAAATAAATGTTATAATACATTATACACACGATCTCAACTATCTCTACCATGACATAAGTATTTACAATGGATCAGATCTCTTCTCCCCTCCAAATAAAAGTCCAGGAGGGAAGGACAGATCCTTTCCAGTCAGAGCAGTAGTTTCTAAGGCATCAAGCTTTCTTCTTCTCAAGCATGCAGCAGCTGTGGCTGGATTTCTGTCAGCACTCACGAGGGGGGTATCCAAGCCCCCTCGGCCCTGTCGTCTCCAAACGAGGGGTCTTCCGTGGGCTACTTTCACCCCAGACAAAGGTCGTTCCACCACGGTCATACCACGAAGCACAGGGGGTCTTCGTGACGGTCTGGTATCTTCAGGGGACTCAAGCCCCTTGCAGAGCTTCTGTGCCCTGCCTCAAGATGGCTACGAGCTTCTTTGCAGCTTGCAGCAAGGGAGGGCCCCAAGGTCAACCCCAAGGTCAACACCGTCCTGGCTGAGCTCTCAGGACAACCGAGCTTCTTAGCTCCTTTACTCCATTTAGGACTTCTAATCAGTAAGAGTCCACCCTCTCCATTTTGGAGGGATCTCAAAGAAAGTTTAGGGGAGTTTTTGCAGTTCTTACCCCCAAACTCTGTCTCTCTGCTGCTAGGTCTCTTTCTCAGCTCTTCTTCCAGGAGTTCTCTCTCTTGCTGCATGCTTGTTTTGCTGCTCTCTTATCTTTTGGCTCTGTGCCGCCGCTTTTTCTCCGGTCAATGCTGGCTGTTGCTAATCCTGCCGCTGCCCACAGTGGAGAAGCATCTCCCGGCTTAACTACAGACACTTAGCCCAGTCTAACACTGTTCCAAGTCTCTGTAGTCCCCCCAGCCGGGGGCCAGGGGCTGGAGCCCCCCAGGGGGCTCCTGCTCTCTCTCTCCTTGTGGTCTTACAACATGGCCACTTCTTCTCCAACCAAACTACAACTCGTCTCTTCCGGTCAGCTTGTGGTATGTTTATATTTCGCAGGAGTGCAGATTGGTTCAAATCTCAAGTGTCACCACCCCCTGGGGGTTACCACTTTCTTAGCTTCAGGGGGAAAACCTGGTTTCAAACCACTACAGACTGGTAGGGCTTTTAAACACTTTGTTGGTAGCATGTATGAATGGGAATCAAACAGGATTAGGATCCTAGAGTGCTGCACAGTTTTAATATATACACACATGGAAATCCAAATCAGCAGGATTTGGATCCCCCAATCAGAGGGAAAGCACAGAAATAGATTTGTCATCTATGTATGGGAAGCTAAGTGGAGGAGAAATCAAGTAATTTATTGTAGCTCCCTTGGGAGAGCAAGTTTAGGGAAAATAGTAAGATGGAATTCAGTTTTCCTGAATTTGGTTTGATTCCCCAGTAGCAGAACTGCTTTGCACATAGATGCATCTAGTCCAAAAACCAGAATATTTCAGCACTTTGGGTTTAAGTGCTTTGTGCAGTGAAAGAATAAGCCTTTGGGAAAGTACTCAAACACCTTCTGACAATGGTTTTGGAGATATCTAATCTTTTTTTAGTAAGTTACTTGCTCCCTTAAAGCTGTTCCGTAGTTCAAACCAAAAGTGAATACAGATATTGAAAGTAAGAGTAATGTGCAGGTAAGCTTGTGTTTAAAAAATGGGGAGTATTCAAATATATATTTTGTTGGCTTTCTCTTGCTAAAAGGGCCCATGTTTTAGTAGAATAGAGAAAAAATTGTTTTAAACAGAGTAGTTAGGATTTTTAAATTTTTTTTTTTTTTTGAGGAGAGATATTCTAAACTGTAGAAAAGTGTGTTTAATTTTAGGTTCCTCTTAAGTGTCTTTAAGGCCTAAATGTCAGCTCTTTTGTATTGGGATCATTCCTGTTTGCAGTACAATCCAGTTTTTAAAGAGAAGGAAAATGTTGTTTTAATTTTTATTGGTATCTGGGTAGCTAATCCTTCTCTTCTTACATTTTTCCATGGTATATTCCCTGCTGGCTCCTTCTGTTTTGCTTTGACATCTAGACTTGTATCATGCATAAACAACACCTGATGGTGTCAGTGGGACCACTGCATACATGAGTGTCCTCGCAGTTGTTCCCTGCCAGCAGTGATGACATTCCAGCCCCAAGTTTGACATTGATACCTGTTCCAAAAACAACAAATAATGTTATTGCATGTTCATGTTTAAAAATACATGCATATGATTTTAAAGTGTTTTCTTTTTTCCTTAGCCTGCAAGTCAGTGCACCCACCTTCTGGTTTAATTCGTGACCGTGCAACCGTTAATTGTGTGTGTATGTAAGGAAAAATATATATTAGATCTGTGTGAACATTCTACTTTTCCATATTTATTATCTACATTTGTCTGTTGCTAAATTAATCTTTGAATTGTTTTTGGTGCATTGATGTTGGGTTTTTTGGCTCTTCAGACAAATCTAAAAGAGTAATTTTACAGATTTTTTCCCCTTGAGACTTTAGACAATTTTGTTTTAGCTGCTGTCAAGATAAATGGAAATCAGTTTCCACAAGCCATCAACAGATGTCCAGTGAAAAGATCTTTCTTTTGGCTCTGTGTGGAAAAACCTGCCCATGCACGTAAGTAAAGTCTATTTGAACTGTGTTATTACACTTTGCTGAAGTTCTGCAACAAGTGAAGTCCTCATGGAAACCTACTATTAAAAATTCAGCATTTGAATGTTGTTTATGCTTAGACAGTCAGTGACTGAGCTGAAAAGAATGAGTTTTATTAAATAAGCACTGAATAATGACTACTGAAGTCAGAGTGGTCTGCATCAGCTGAGCCCTACAACAGCAATACTTTTGCTGTTTGGCACTTTCTGTTCTTCCTTGGTGAGCATTTTAATAAGAGAAGAAGTGTACTTTAATACTGGATTTGAGATAAAAGTTTTATTTGTTAGATTTGGAATAAAAGATGACTAGTAACTGTAGTGCCCAAGGTGGACCACAGTGTAAGTTGTACAGATATTCTGTCTATCTTTGTATGCAAGGTGTGTGGGTCCAAGTCATCTCAGCCTCTGAGGTGCAGCAGTACTAAAATCCAGAAAAGCAACAGGTGTAAATGAGGGATAGATCATTCATTTTCCTTTTAAGTACAAGTGCAGCTCTGGTAATGCAGGGTAGCTCTGAAAAAAGATGTTTTGTAGGACTTCTGGAAGGTCTGTCTTCTGTAACAATTTTTTTTTTTCTTAATCTCCCTCCCAACTCGCACCCCACCCATCAGGCCTCATAGCAATAACGTGTAACACCTTATTGCTCCGTGGTTAAGAGTCACTGTGAAGGGCTGCTGAACAGGCAGTGAGTGCAGGACAGCATCTGCAAGCATTAATGTTCAGCTCCCTCACAAGACAAGAAATGGCCCAGGAGTTAATTTAATGTGCCTTCCCCAAGCACACATTCACCAAGTGTAAGCGTTCTAGTTAGTGGTGTGGGACTTACCGCCTGTTGAGTCTTGTGTTTCTCCCATAAAGTTTTATTGTAGTGGATCAGTTTAACAACTTTGGTGAGGATGTGAGGTCAAGAGGATGGGAGTAAGGGTAAGAACAACTCTCTTGGCCTGAGCAGCTGACTTGCAAAAACAATGGAATGGGAAAGAAAGGGAGCAGTGCTATCTCTGTGTACACAGTGATACTTCATTCCTTTGGGGGTATTTCCCATAAGGAGGTGGTCTATTGGAATTTCTGCCCATTTTAGAAGGCTGCACTTTGGGAAAAATATATGTACTGTATCATAAAATTAATCAAATTTGACGCTTGGCAGATTCCCCTGTAGCGAGGATTAACTTTACAGTCTCATTCCAATGGGGCATGTCTTCTTTCCTTCTCTTTCTCCTGGAAGAGGTTGCTAATAATTGACATGGAGCATTTACTCCATAGTATCACTGTCAAGACATAATGTTTTGCTGAAATTTTATAAGCCTTAGATATAAACTATTTAGAAATTAATTTCTTAATTTAATGCCCCACCTCAGAGTGTTGAGGATACTCTTGCTTCTAGCTTTTCTCCCCCGGGTAGATGAATACAAACCGCCTACTTATAAAGCAGAATCAGAGGGTAAATATGTTTGCCTAACAGCTGATTTACCCGAGTAAGGTGCTGCTGATGCTTTTTGGACTTTGTTGCTATATAACATCAAGTTATAAGTTTTTAATAAACTATTTAATAATTTAAAATAGGAAAAAGAAAAAGTCCTTCTAATGCTGGGGGAGTGATATGCTGGAGATACATGAAGCAACCTTGCCTACTTCAAGACTGGTTAAGTTTTCGATGTTAATGCTTGCAGGGCTACAATTCCTGAGTGGTGAAATGGTAGGTTTGGGTCCTATTTGAGTGTCTTCCTCATGTTAGAAATATCTCCTTTTTAAAAAAAGTAAGGAATAAAAGTCTTCCTCGCCATGAAAGCCCATGGGAAGAGTGTACGAAATAAAATTATGAGTCTGGCTGCAATGTGTGTATGTAAGTCTTCCGTGACTGGATTGTTCTGTAACACTAGGAAGGACTTTGAAGTCTTTTTGAAGTAGGCTGGTTTTAAGTTAGTACATTTAGCAATGACCTGCCTCTTGTTTTACTTTAGATTAAAGTTTTGAGCCCACTGTTATATAGCAACAGGCTGTAGAACTTGTAGTGGGGACCCTATGTGACTATTTCCAGGTCTTTGGCATGATATGGGCAGCTGGAAATGCAAAAGTTGATTAGGATCCCTGAGCTCTAACCTTAATGTCTGTCCTAGCAGGCTACCATTTGCTGAAGTGCACAGTTTGCATATCAGTATTAAACACAAACAAAGCATGTGATCATACGAGAGCAGTGAGATGTGGGCCTGTGTTAACAGAAGAAGAGCAGGCAGAGATGGCAGTTCATGTGGAGCAGAATTCAGAGTACCAAGTGTTACATGCACATCTACGAGCAGAGAGAGCTGAAGCTCTTGTTAAAATTGCTTGCCTCCTTTTACCTCTGTATCACAGAAAGGATATGCACATTTTAATAATGTTGTGGTATGAATAAGGACATCACTGTGCATAATTCTTTTGCTGACTCTAGTAATAAAGCATTCTACCCTTTATTTATAGGACTGCCTCAAGGATCTGACAGGAGGAATTGAGTGTGCTGCCAAGATATTAAATGAAATTCCCCAGGAAGACATTAAGTTCACTAAAAGAGCCTCAAAGGCAGAGAGGGAAGGAAATGGGCAAGGTAAGTCATACATAATGATCGTGGTTGGCATCCATTGATCTCATCTAGCATCCTCTGAGAGTGGAATATCCATAAAAGTCTTTTAAAAGTCACTTGGATATTCTAGATAGTGTTTGTGCTCACAGACAGCAGCAGTAAGGCTAACTGTGACAAGTCATTTTCTTGTGACCCAACTAATTAAAATATAAAAATAATATTGTTGCCTTGGTCCATTGCCATTAATCTGAAAAGTCAGCAAAATAAAACATATTTTATCTTTAATATCTTTAGCTCTCTGCTGAAGATTTCCCTGGAGGAAAACCATCAACATGGGACTGTACTAGAAGAAAGATCCCTTGAGGTTGTACTCTGTCGCCAGCACAAACCAGTGAGGGATACCTGGGGTGAGTATAGGAATGAAGCAAGCACATAGTAACTGTGATGTAATCAACTAGGATATATATGAAACCCAAGAATTATCATGAATCAGGAACCATCTGAATCTTTTTGGTAGCTTGTTGTTCTGTTAACCAACATTATGGTTGTGAATTACATTTCTAATCCTTCCTGTTCCCTCTCCCAGCAGAAACATTAGTGAAATTGAGGTTTTATCATGTTCTTAAAAAAAAATATATCTACATTATGATGTTGATGGAGTACTTGGAAATGCGCAAAAGGCACGGGAAATATTCATGTTACAGTGTCTGAAATGTGATGGTCTAATTTTGCTCTAGCCATTGATTTGGGTAACTAGCAAAAGGGTGTATCTCTTCTTCTTCTTTTTACTTGTTTCAATCTTTTAACTCTCTTCTCCAACTTGTATAAGGTAGTGTATAGTATGCATTATATTCACAAGCACTAGATAGCAATAGGCAGGCAGACATAAGTCCTCTGTTTTGAGTCTCATATTTTCTTTTCACTTTTTTTTTTTTGGTAGGCTCAGATTGCTCTGGAGTACAGTAATAAATTGTACTTCCTCATTTTAACAGTTGGTGTCCTTTTCAGCAGGAATCTTAACCTTCCTCATGCAGGTTTAGAGACTGTTTTTATTGCTGAGAAAATGGGATTTTTCTGTCCCTTTCATTTCAATTTCAATTAAAAAACTGGTGACTTTGAGGGACACCACCTTCCTCACTGTGGCTAAGGGTTACGATAGTCTACATTCACACTCCCCTGGCCCAAATTTATAGTAATGTCATATGGATTAGGCTTTTATCTAAATGCCATGCAGGTTTTCCCCCCAATTGGAAAACAGTATAGTGGCGCCATGCGAGACACTTTGCTGTCCAGAGTTGTATAAAAGAGCCTAAAGCTGGTAATAGGCTTAACATGGAGTCATTTTTTTTACCATTGAAGTGACTCTAGTTGCTAAGCAGGAAATACAGCAGGCCTCCTGTACCAGACTTTGGGTGTCTTTATTCTTATACCTGAAACAACTCTGTCTGCTTTGAATCAGTGGCAAACGAGGGCTTGGCTGGGATATGGCCTGATTAGACTTTGGCTGAAACACCTACGTAATACTAAATTAAAAAAATTCCTCCAAGTTTTGATGACAAAAGATGTCAGTGCCTTAAAGACAAAACAAAAAAAAGCACTTTGAATCTGAACAACGCTTCACCCTTTTCCATGGCTTTTTTAACAAACTCTTTATTGATTGCAGAGGGAGCTTGCAATAATGGTGTTTCTAGCATTGGACCTCTTCACTAAACAGCTGCACCTAAATTTTAGCATATTTTTCTCTATTTTAGGATTTTTGAAACCTCTAAGGATTTTTTACATTTAAGTACATTAGGACCAAATGGTGAATTACTTTTCTTTTATCATAAAAATGCTTTCTAATAACAGAAAAGGCAATATTAAGGACTTTATTATTGTCTTCTGGATCAGATTGCTACAAATTAGCCCATATTTAGTTCAGTAAAACAGTTCTTATTACTTTGTATTGAATATGAACTGTAATGAAGTAAACTGGCAGTTGAATGAGCTGATGAATTAAAAAGGAGAATCTTTTACAGCTGGGAAGTGCTTTGATGTGTCATTTATTATTTCCATACTATACCATATGCTGGTGTTAAATGTGGCTTGTTGATGGTGTGCCTGCATTTGCGTGTATGGAGTCAGACTACCTCTGTTTTGATCCTGATTCCATGAAGATGGGAACCATTGCTCACAGTCAGTGCAGCTGTTTGAAACTGGGGTTCAGAAACAGGACTTTTATTCCAATGAGCAAACAAATAACTGATCATAGATAGCAACTCAATGAAGTTTTGAAGGAAGTTTTTATTGGTGTTTTTTCATTGCTTGGTAAAGAAGTATATTAAGCAAGCCCATGTTTTCAGTTGTTTGAGTAATGATTCAGGTATTTCAATGGAGGAATTTTGCAAAGACTACTGGGTTTTTTAGAGTTACCTTACTTTTCCTCCCTTCTCCCCCTCCACCCCCAACCTGCTGCTGTATGTAGAGGTGGTATATCCTCATTCTCAGCTGTTGCATGCAAGCCACACAGTATCCCTGGCAAGATGGGTTTAACCTTTCGGATTGTTCCATCTTTGTTCTTTTTCTAAATCTGTTAGTTGACTGTGCAGGATTTGTAATCCAAATGCGGCAGTCTGCTTTTTAACTGCAGTGATGATACTCTATTGAACTGGTACTGCACTGCATGCTTTGGAGACCAGCTGGCCTTCCCTTGCATTGACATCCGTGCTTTCCTGAGGGTATGAAGCTCATGGTGCAGGAAACCACTTACCTTAGTGGCCATGCAGATATAAAAGAATATCTTAAGCTGAGCAATCTGTGTGTCTTTCAGGTGCCTGTTTCTTTCTGAAAATAAAAATCCATGCGAAAAGAAAAAAGGTGCCAACAGGGTGGTTTCCTAACACAACAAAAAGTAACTCTTTAAACAGAACAGCTTTCATTTCTATCCCCACTGGAGGAGGCCCTATGAAAACATTCCAAGCCCTTTCTCTGAAGCGTGGAATGACCTTTCCTAGCTCTGCAGCCAGATAGTCTGGAGCTGTGCTTTCCTGAAGCTCACCATTTTATCTTGTTGCATAAGTTGAGATAGATGGGTCAGATTTAAAGGAGAACAGGGGTGACCATCGAGTTAGACCTGTGGTCAGTTCCTGCTGCCTTTTACTCCCACTTTATGTTTCAGGCATAGTTTTATTGGAGAGGCTGGAGAGAAATTTGCCTTCCTGGAGTATCCCATTACAATGCATCTGTCCAGTATTTCTAGATGCTGGCAGCATCCAAGCAGTTAGGCGTGGGGCACACACTGACGCTGATCTGACAACCCTTGCTCAAAAGACAAAGGCTATTAGATGGTCCTCAGTGCTAGGCTAATGGTTCCATGCTTTCCAGGTAGCTTGGAGCATGGCTAGAGCACACTCGGGGCCTGCTCACAGGAATGTGTGGCTGCCTTCACCCTCAAATGTAAAATGCATTTCTTTCCCTAATTGCTTACAGGTAGGGACTGATTTTTCTTCCTCGATGAATGACTTTTCTCATCTTTGTAACGGTGAAAGCTCATGTTCCATACATAGATTTGTCTTTTTTTATGTGAAATACTAGATATGAAGAGTCCATGAGGACTGTTGTTCAGCTGGATTAAAAGCCTTCATTGTTTTAGGTCATCTACCCTTTTGCAACTTCTGCAGCCTCAGTATGGAGGCCCTGAAAACTTGGTAGAAGATCTTTGCTGTAATCTTTGATTTAAAATTAAAAGACGTTAAAGCCATTTATGTGCTGGCCTCTACCCCAATATGGGTTAAATGGAATGCTGAATATGTCCTGGAATTTTGACTTTTCTTTATCTGTACAGAATTAAGGAAGAGTTTGGGTAAGTGGATATAAAATAGTCACTAAGCTTCAAAAGAGCTAAACCATGTTCTTCCTGGAGGAATGTTACATCCTTGAAGGAGGAGAATCTGAGGTGCAGAAGTGAGGAAGATAAAGAATGGAGCTGTGTGTGCAGAAGAGGTTATGGCCATGTGTCTGATGACTCACTGAGTATTTCCTGGTGTGAGAGACAGACTTTGATTCCCCAGAGCAACCAATAATGTGGCCCCTGGGAACCTGTAGAGCTGTTAACTTTTGGGGTCATATCTGCCAGCATCCTGAATATCTACCCGTTAAGGGTGTCTCCTGTTTTCTGAGCTGAGAATGTCTTTGTTTAGATGCTTTAGAGTAGGAAACGCTAATGATTTATTCTGTAGACTGATTAAAAGTTCCCTAAGTTCTGATGAAAAATGGGACTGTTATTGGAAGAGGCTGCTGTCATTTAATGGCAGCATATATTAAGTTTACATGGCACTGGTAAAAATAACCTGATGGGCGCACCCAGAGAGTGGTTCTATGATTTTATAATATCATCCGTCCAATCCCAGATCTATCCACCCCCTGGTTCTGCCCCGTTCTGCCCCCTGACATGGCCCTTTGGGAATTAGGTCTCGGGGTGTTTGGGACCCCTACTTCCTCATCTTCATCTTTGCAACATGCACAGTCTTTGGAGTTCCTCCAAAGTTCTGGGCTTGAAAGTTGCTGTGCCTGTGTGATATCTTCTGCTCCAGGCCTGGGGTCCACTGTTCTTAAACAGAGGTGATTTCCTACAATTCTACCTTGAAGACTAAATATGCTAACGGAATTTAGAGGGATTGATATGAAATGGGGTAATAAGTTTGCATATCTGTAAACTATTATGCTAAAGGGTAAGGGGTATAACGCAGCTACATTAAAATTACATTTACTACACAACTCCTTCTAAAATCTCAGAAGTTAAAAAATTGAAAAAGCTCTGAGGCATCAATACATAGGTGTTACTCTCACAATAATTCAGAATTCTTAATTAGTGTTCAGTCATCATTTTGGGAACAAAGCCACTTAGAGGAATGTATTTTAAATGAAGATATTATTAGGCAGAATATTTATGAAGCTAAGAAATATAGCAGTGGCAGAACAAAGATTATTTTCCAAAGTTGTATAATTTTGGACCAAAGACTGGTAAAATTTGTGTCAAATTCCATGAATTGTTTCAACTAAAAGAATAAGAGAATTTTTCCTATCTTGAGTGTCACCCTGATTTAAATTAGATGTGTTTAAAAGTGAAAGGTAACACCTGAAATTTAGTTTTTTAACCTTCACATTGTGATTTTTACTTGACATTTTGTTTCTATACTAGATTTTTCCAGGCACATGAATTTGTTTTAACAAAGTTGCTTGTAATTATAGTTGATAAATTTCTACTTTCTTGCTCAACTACTGGGTCAAGCCAGAAGCCAACTAAAACTCTGGGAAATTTGATTTGATTTTTAAAACATTTTACATGCAGCAAGGACCTGTACTTTTGCTTTAAGAAGGGGGAATAAAAGCTTATTTTTTATTTTTTTAAAAGGCAATTTGTATAGTA